GTTGTGCACTGGTACATTCAGATAACATCAGAACACAGAATCACACCAAATTCGGCTATCCGCATCTCCGTCTGTCTGTCTCTCTCTCTCTCATTTAAAACCACTTCAATCCTCCTCTTCTGTGGCTGATGGATATACATGTTCCCGTTCCATATTACGCAACACTTGTTCAAATGTATTACTGCACGGAACGACCAAATCAGAGGCACGCAACGGGGAATAGGATCGCATCAGTTGAGCCTGAGATTGTGTGAACGGGGAATCGGCTCCTACCAACAGCTCGTCCGACTCATCATTGCCCAATTTGGATTGATCCACATTCACGATTGTGTGTCGTCGTGGCATGCTCACCTCCGGAATCGCCTCGGGGATTTTCAGACTCGGTGTGAAGGGCAACGATCCGCGGTAATTGCCAAACTGATGTCGGGATCCGGAACGTTTGGCGCGTCCGTCTACTAACATTTTCTCGTGAGCTAGCATATCTGGATTGAGTAGCGGAGATTCATTGGTCAGTGTGATGTATGGGATAATTGTGGCACGTCTCGGTAATGCATTCTGATCTTTGCGATTCAGATAATAATCGAATTGTGTCGGTCTGCTCTCTGACCAACGTTCATCCGCACTGTCCTGGGAGTTCAGCCTCAAATTGGTCAGTGAAGATTTCCTCGATGAGAGTCTTGTCCCTGTTGGTGTGGAGCTTTTGTTTTTCTTCAATTGCAAGGTAATTTTCGATGATGATGATGACGATGAGGGTGACGGGGAGGACATATTTTGCTACGTTAAACTGATTCTTATGATCCGAACGAAAGACATAGCATTCAAGGAATGATGAACTTAGCAGAAGGAGAAAAAAAACAGTTCATCAATGAATTATAAATCCATGCGAAGACTGGTGATCGACTAGCGCCTCTAGGGAGAAGAAGAATGAGTAGTCCTTCTGTTCAATTATTTCAGTCCGCTCAGGTATGACAACGGCATCGATGTACAAAACAGACCAATCCACACTCGGCAGTTTGATGAGATCAGTGTGGATTGGCCCGTACATTGTTAGTGCTCATTCAGACAATTTGAGAGTAGACCCGCACATACACTTGCTGACTACCGGTTGCTAAGCGACATACATCGTACACCTGAATATCAGGAGAGTAGTTGCGGCAAGCAACTGGTGGCCTTATGGGTTGTGGTAAACAGTAAGGAGCGTACTGATTTTAAGACCGCTCCAGATATTTATGTATTTGTCACCTCTAGTATTTTCCGATGGGGTTATCTAAAATATTTGTAAGAACAATATATCAATCCTTGTTTCAGCCTCTAAAATCTTGAGATAGGCAGTGACTACCACATGCAAAGTGTAAGACTCAAGTACAAATGTCTCTCTCTAACCATGATTACACAAGTAATAACTGAAATGGAAATTACGAAATTGATAAATCAAGATAGAGAACTGATGAAATATAATTTCGATTCTATTATATCGTCAATCTCTTCGTGTTTTGAACAAATGAAGCATCGACTGAAATGCCAGAAATCACTGTACTGTTATTTTGATCCAATTGGGTTTCAGCAGCAGTGTGAATCCATCCACCACCTGACTGGAGATCGAACCCCGGATATCACAAGCAAGCGTGCCACGCAATTGACCACTAGTTCCCCGACCGTTTTCTATTTTTATCTTTTCGCGATATAGCTAGCATAACCCATCTCGTTGTGGGCATCTCACCGAATAATCGAATCAAACACAAAGCTACTCACATTTGACAAGCAGTCAGTTTCGGAATATTTCTCACCAGTGTCTTTTGCTGATATACGCGTTCTCGGCAGTTTTTAGAATCCGTATCGCCTGCGATCGGAAAGAGCAGTTCGTTCTGACCGCGAGGTTTTGTATAGTCAACCTCGTTTACCCAAACACGCACATAATAAAAGAATAAGGATCCTAGAGCCTTTGAGTATTGCACACAACGCTCTGTAGAGGTTCGAAAAGGGATTTCTGAAAGAAGTCTACAACCAGCGGATTGCAACTGCCATGAAGTGAAAGTGTCCCGTTGAATTAGGTGTCAGGTGTCTATGGCAAGTACCTCAAGCCACATTTGAAATACACCAAGATGAGAAAGTCATCCTGGATGATGTTCACTCAAATGCGATGCGGAGTTCAGTGGATAAGAGACTGTATGACTGTAATAGTCGAAATAGATACGGACTACGAA